CTTGTGGGGGACCAGGGTTCACTTGCAAGATCTCATTGTCGGGTGACTCACAACCTGGGACTCCAGCTCCAGGGACTCCGACACCTCTGGTCCCCTCAGGCACCTGCACGTACCCACATATAGACACGAGCATATATATCATTTCAAAAATCAGTGGGGCTGGAGAGATGGCTTAGTGGTTAAGAGCACTGGCTGCTCTTTCAGGGGACCAAGGTTCAATTCTCAGCACCCACATGGCAGCTAAAATTGTCTATAACTCCAGTTCTGGGGTATCTGACACCCTCATACAGACATACATGTGGGCAAAACAACAATGCACTCAAAATAAAATAAATCACTACAAAATTAACAAAAATGAAAAAATTTCAAAAATTCAGTAACAGTTTGTAAGCAAAACAGCAAGAACTATCATTTTGTAACCAAAATCTTACCATTTTACTTGTAAAATCAAGAACTCCTACAATTAGGAAGAACATTCTAGATACTGAGTGCAGGAATACATTCTTTTCTGGGAATTTCAAGTCTGTCTGTTAAAACAAGTTATAAAGCTTAAGTAGATCAAAATGTGAAAGAATCTTTGAACAGCTACTTAAAGGGATCCCTTAAAAAAGGAAACGGCTATGGTCTCATTACCCTATTTCAAAGAGAAGTTCTTGGGTTTCTTTATGGTGGAGACTCTGTGAAAAATCTCCCTTCCAACAGACAGAAAGGCCAAGCTGCTAAGGCCCCTGCCTGGCCCCTTACCGTGTTCCCCTCCTTCCCTGAGCTCTGCCCAGGCTCCTGGCTCAGGAGCTGTTAAGGGCCCAGTGCCAGGCCAGATGGCAAAGATGGGAAAAACTGCCAAAGAGGAGTGTGGAAAGAGGGATGTAGGTGTGGGGGAGAAGTAGCACAGACCCTCTCCCCAATTCTGCCTTGAAGAAGAGGCTAGGCTGGGGGGAGGCGGAGATGGAAAAAAAATCTAAGTAGCAGTTACCTCCAAAAAGAAGGAAGAGTGATGTTTCATTTCTCCGGCTAGGAGGGGGCCACAGAGGCCTACACAGCTTGGTGACACGGACACTCACTGATGTCACATAGGCACACCGTGACACACATTTCCATACACAGACACACGGAGGCATGCACACATTAGCATCCAAATCAGTGTCTGTGTACAGGCTGTTACACTTGCAGAGCCACGTGGGCCAGAGAAGAAAGAGGGGTCCTGGCCCCTGCCTTAGGGAAAATCTTTAACGAGCACAGAGAGCCAGGTTTCTTCATAAGCACATGCTCATACAGATGTATGCAAAAAATATCTTGGCCCACAGGCATGGAGGACCAGAGAAACCACAGTCAACATAGAGGAACCAGGGGCACCATGCTTTCCACCCTCATGCTGCTCAAATCAGAGCAGGCCAGTGGCTCGAGGCGTCCCTGTCCATCTGGGGCCCTTGTTCCTTACCTCCTCAGGACCTCTGGAACCTGTTCCATTGCCCTCTGAGCTGGGCTGGGTGCTGCTCTTAGCTGAGATAAGGGCGAGGGGCAGGGCTATTTTCTGTCACAGGCAGGAAGTAAAAGCCAAGAGTAAAGTGGGCAGGAGGCTAGCTCATGATCAGCCCTCCACGCGGCCCCCCTGCTCTGCCTGAGGGGGCCATCCTCCCCAGCCTGTAGCCGACAAAGCGATGCGGAAGGTCGCTGCTGCCAGCAAATTCAGCAGTGACAGGAAGAGTCTGCCCACCACCGGCACTTTGCTCCCCCACCTTGCCTCTCTCCCATGTGCCACAGACAGCTTGCTCGGTGACTCCTGTTACCAATTCACATCTTTCTGCCTTCTCCAAGGGGCCAAAATTCAGGTCTTTGTGCTGACAATTACCTCTGGGGTAATCTCAGTTCATTTCTCAGCCCAAACACAGGAAATAGCACTCCTCTCCCTAAGTGTCTAAATTGCCCCTTTGACACTTCCTCTGCTTCTGTTCAAGCACTGCCAAGCAGGTGCACCTCACCCCTGACAGGCCTGGGAGCAAGGGTGACATCATGTGCAGTCACTAAACTCACCACAGGGCCCCTGGGTTTGCCAAGAACCCTGTCTTAGACTTGTTAGTTCTGCCCCGGTCTCAGGTGTGCTGGTTTGTACCTGTAATGCCAGCACTTGGGCGGCAGAAAGCAGGAAGGTCACCACAGGTCCCAGGCCTGGTCTACATAACCATGTTCAGATCAGGCAAGAAAACCCTGTCCGCCGGGGTGTGCATACTTTTCTATGTAGTGAGTTCAGGGCAGCAGAATTACACGGTAAGACTTGCTGTCCAAACAAACTTAAAGCAAAAGTTTTGGCCTTCCTGTGCACAGTTTAAAGCTGCCGGTCAGCTTCTCCTGAGACTGAGGGCCAGGGCAATGGTTTGGAGAGTTCAGAGTGAGGTCACCCAGCCTAGAAGAAGATAGAGTCTGGGATCACCAGAAAGAGAAAGGAGACCTCCTGTGGTCCAGTAGCCATTCCTGCAGGCCCAGGAATCCTGCCCCGTCCGTCACTGGGGTCCTGTCTTCTCCCTGCTCAGGACAGCCCTGCTTGTCCTCTCTCCCCCAGTCTTTCTTTCTCTCCCTGCCCTTCTAACATGGTCCTCAGATTCAGTCTCCCTCCTGGGCTCAGCGATTTCCCTTCCTTTTTTGGGTTTTTTTTTTTTTTATAGCTTTTGGAGCCTTGCTTGGAACTAGCTCTTGTAGACCAGGCTGGCCTCGAACTCACAGAGATCCCCCTGCCTTTGCTTCCTGAGTGCTGGGATTAAAGGCGCCCGGCCGCAATTTCCCTTCCTATACCTGTCTAGCCCCCTTCAGTGGGGTTTCCCTTTTCCCTCTTCTCCCTCCTTTCTTCCTTTCTCCTTGAGATAGGATCTCACAGTGTATCTCTGGCTGACTTGGAATACACGACAATTCTTCAGCCTCAGGCTCCAGAGTGCTGGGACTATGATCAGCCTTCACAAGGCTTTTCTGGGAAAGCCAGAAGTCACAGGTGACCCAAAGTCCAGTAATTGGTTTCCCAGATGTGTAGATGACAGCTTACCTACCTGTCCCTCCACCCTACCTCCCAAAGCTGGAAAAACAGGAAAGTAAGTTCCAACCCCCCCAAAAGTCACTGCCATAGGCTCGCACCGTGCTGATCTCTGCTCTGTGTACATCTTACCCTCGCTTCAGGCCTGACAGGTCCTGCCTCTTCTGAGTAAGCTCCCGGAGCCTTTTAGGCTGGGTGACCTTACCCTGAACCTCCATCACACCACTGGCCTCAGAGGCCCACGCCCTTTGTTTCTGATGCTGGGGATGAACCCAGGGCCTAGTGCACACTAGACAAGCACTTTGCCTCCTAGCTATGCCAATATCCTCATCAGCTCTCCCCTCTTCTGCTGTGTCCTCCTTGGTTTTATTATTATTATTATGGGGCACATACTGGGGGGAGGGGGTGGGGAGAGCCAATGGCACAGACTGAGCTGGCCTCTGGTATCTCTGGTTGTTTGAGAGGTGAGGGCCACTGTCATATTCCTTGCCTCCATTTCCCCCAGGGCTGTGACTTCAGTTTATCATAAACGAAGAGTTCTGGAAGTCTTTGAGTCCCTTTCTTGTCACTGAGCCCCTTAAAACTGTAGGCAGTAGGCAGGCAGTGGCCTGCACGAGGATGGCAAAGGTCCCAGACAGCCTTCCACAGGTTCTCCACATGCACAAGAGCGCATTTCCTCCCCCTTTGTGCTACTCATGAGCCATAGTCTGTCAAAGCGGTGGGGACAGAGAGACCAGACGGCCCAGCACCCTTCCATTTCAGCATGTCAGGTCGGGGCAGCGCTTCCTCACGACCCATTAAGACAGGCCTGGGAGGGCTGGGGGTAGCTCGGTGGCAGAAAGGTTACTGGCATTCACAAAGTCCCGGGCTTAACCTTGGGCACAACAAAAAATAGATGAAGTAGATCTGAGCGTCGTGGCACATTCATGTAGTTGAAACTATCCGGAAAGCTGATAGGATAGGGATCATCTGAGGTTAGGAGTTGAAGACCATCCCAGAAAGCATGAGACTTCGGGCTGGGCAGTGGTGGTATATGCCTTTAATTCCAGCATTTGGGAGGCAGAGGCAGATGGATCTCTGTGAGTTCAAAGCCAGCCTGGTCTACAAGAGCTATTTGCAGGACAGCTAGGTCTGTTACACAGAGAAACACTGTCTTGAAAATACAAACACACAGACCAGAAGAAAGCATGAGACTTCATTCCCCAAAAGGGTCAGTCAGGAGAGCAGGGATGCAGCTCCTCAGTTGGTGGGGTATTTACCTAGCGTGCTCTGGGTTATGCAGCTCCTCAGTTGGTGGGGTATTTACCCAGAGTGCTCTGGGTTCAACCCCGGCACTTGCAGAAACCTGCTGTGGTGGTCCGTGCCTGGAATCCCAGACTCCAGAGGGAGAGGAATCAGGAGTTCAAAGACCTCCTTGGCTATGTTTAGATTTTGAAGCCAGCCTGGGCTACATCTCAAAAGCGGGGGGGGGGGGGGGGGGTTAGGGGGCACTCAGTGGTAGGACAAGTGCTTAGCTTATAGTCATTCTATCCCAGCATCAAATAACCAAATAAAACACACCTTGGTGACCGGGGAGGGCCGTCTTTCCCGGCCAGATCTTTAGCTAACTTTAATCAGTTCAGCTCAGTGTCTTCCAGGTTAGGACCCGGTCCTGCAGGATGAGTGGGTGTGAGGGGAGCAGATCTCAGAGAGCTCTCCTCAGGGAGCTCAGGGTCA